CCTCCTCCTCCTCCTCCTCCTCCTCCTCCTCCTCCTCTTCTTCTTCTTCTTCTTCTTCTTCTTCTTCTTCTTCTTCTTCTTCTTCTTCTTCTTCTTCTTCTTCTTCTTCTTCTTCTTCTTCTTTTCTTCTTCTTCTTCCTCTTCCCCTTCTCCTTCTTCTTATTATCATCATCATCATCATTATCATTCACTCTCATCCATCTATTATTGAATCTAGAGAATGGTCAAGAGAAGCACTTGTTTTTTTCGAAATAACATGGCAAAGAGTATGAGTGTTATTAGTTTGCCTGTGGTATCTCGTTACGAAGTTCTCCTCCAGTTGTTTCACAGAGATATTAAACGGCAAATGAGAACATTGGTAGCTCAGAGTTGAAATGAGGGGTCTTTGGTGCTCTCTGAACTTGATTGTTTTCTTGCAGACATTTTTTTATCCAAACTAGGTAACATTATCAGTGCTAGTAAAGAAGTCGGGCTTGAGGCCTTTGAGAACCCCGTTCCTGACTAGCACTGATGACGTTACCAAGTTGGGTAATGAAACGTCTGCAAGAAAACAAGCAAGCTCAGAGAGCACCAAAGACCCCTCATATTAAACAACATCGGGAGTGAGATGGAATATTAGGCCAGTGATCCAGATCATTGTTCCTCAGCTTTGGCAATTTAAAATGGGTGGACTACAATTCCCAGAATTCCTCATGCTGGCTGGGGAATTCTGGGAGGTGAAGTCTACCTATCTTACAAGTTCCCATAGTTTGAGAAACACTGGTTCAGATCTTAAAAACAGCATTACAACAACATGATCCTGCCCTATGGGATAGACCCCAACAGCAGAAAAGCAGAACTCACTCGGTTTGCCAGATAGGTAGTCCTCGACTTACGACCACAATGGAACCCAAAATTTCTGTTGCCAAGCGAGACATTGGTTAAGTGAGTTTTTGTCCCATTTTACCACCTTTCTTGCCACAGTTGTTAAGTGAATCACTGCAATTGTTAATAACACGGTTGCTAAGTGAATCTGGCTTTCCCATTGCGTGTCAGAAGGTCGCCAAAGGGGATCACGTGACCCTGGGACGCTGCAACCGTCATAAATATGAGCCCAGTTACCACATGTCTGAATTTTAACCACATGATCATGGGGATGCTGCAACGGTCGTAAGTATGAAATATGTTCGTAAGTCACCTTTTTCAGTGCTGTTGTGACTTTGAACGGTCACTAAACAAACTGTTCTAAATTGAGGACTATTTATAGGGCATAAAGAAGGCTGTTATTCCTTCCCAGCGTAGATCTTAAATAACTTGTCAGCTGTCCAGTCACCTTATAGGGGAAATGGGCGGCATAAAAATTGAACCAAAAAATTAATAAATAGAAATAAACACGTCGAGGAAATCAAAGGACGGGTAATCCTCAACGTAACAACCAAAATGTCTGCAAGAGAGCTGTGAAGTGAGTTTTGCCCCCGTTTTACGACCTGTCTTGCCACCGTCGTTAAGTGGATCACTGCAGATGTTAAGTTAGTAGCACGATTGCGAAGTGAATTTGGCTTCCCCCATTGACTTTGCTTCTCAGAAAGTCACAAAAGGGGATCACACGACCCCGGAAGACTGCGACCGTCGTAAAGACGAGCCAGTTGCCAATCCTCTGAATTTGGATCACGTGACCCCAGGGATGCTGCAATGGTGGTTAATGCTGAAAAATGGTCATTTTTTTTTAAAAAAAGTGCCATTGTAACAGTCACTAAACCAGTGGTTCTCAACCTTTTTAATGCCGTGACCCCCAACAGGTCGTAAGTCGAGGACTAAACCAGTCGTAAATCGAGGACTACCCAACCGGTCGTACATCGAGGACTTTCCCTGCCCGGGAGCGCCGCGTATGCGTGGTTCCACCCCCTGCGCCGGCCGAGGCGTAGCTGGCAAGCGGCAGAGACGGAGCAGGCTGACCACCAGCTGGCCCAGCCCAAGGGAGGTAAGGCACCCGCCGGAAAAGGGGAAAAAAAATGGCGGACAGCCTTGCTTGGCAACCCCCGTGAAATGGTCGATCGACCCCAAATGGGGTCGCGACCCATAGCTTGAGAACCGCTGCACTAAACAATGGTTGTAAATTAAGGACCGACTGCCTTCAGTCTCAATGCATACAATATATGTATGCATTATATACACAATGTATACTCCCCACAGGAGTGTCAAGAGTACACAAGCGTTGAAACCTTTGGCTGCCTCTTAAGTCAACGTTACGGGCAAGAGAGTGTCGTTTTTCTAACGCCGCAACCTTGCATTTCATCCCGTTTTCCATTGTTTGTTTTGAGGCTGTTCTTTCAGCTCTTTGAAGCGATGAACGGAAGGGAAACTCCTCACTAATTCCTTGAAAGCTTACTACGGTTCTCAGAAAGCTTTCCTGGGAAATGGATATTACCATTCTCCATCCTTACGGCGGGCTTTCCACAATGTTTTAGTTACTAAAGAACTGAGCACAGGCAAATCTTTGTGTGCGACGGTGAAAACACCTGGCCTGGCCACTGTCTGGCTACACCGAACGAGGCGTATAATGGGACTCTTGTTCAACACCAAAATCCATACAGGTCCTTTTGTGTCACATAATAACCATGTCATCCCAAATACTTTAGATGTTTGTTAAAACAGAGGAACTGGGAGACCAATATGAGCAGTTGTCAGGGATCAAAACCACGGCACTTTTCACCAGAGCCGTTTTACTAAATGTATACTGTATGGAAAAGCTACGGCCGATTTATTGTTGCTGTGTTGTTGTTCCCTTTAGCAAATCGTCCATTTACGGGTGGTCTTTCACAGCAATTCATTTGCAATATGTTCATGCTACCCATCTCTTCACATGGCAAGCATGTAGTACGACAGACAGAGATAGATACAGATAAAGACAAGAGACAGATAGATAGATAGATATAGGACAGATTAGATCAGTGGTTCTCAACCTTTTTAATGGCACGACCCCCAACCAATCGTAAGTCGAGGACTAAACCGGTCGTAAGTCGAGGACTAAACCGGTCATAAGTCGAGGACAAATTGGTCGTAAGTCGAGGACTACCCAACCGGTCGTAAGTCGAGGACTTTCCCTGCCCGGGAGCGCCGCGCATGCGTGGTTCCGCCCCCTGCGCCGGCCGAGGCGTAGCTGGCAAGCGGCAGAGATGGAGCAGGCCGACCACCAGCTGGCCCAGCCCAAGGGAGGTAAGGCACCCGCTGGAAAAGGGGGAAAAAAATGGCGGACAGCCTTGCTTGGCGACCACCATGAAATGGTCGATCGACCCCAAATGGGGTTGCGACCCATAGGTTGAGAACCGCTGGATTAGATAGATAGATGGAGAGTTAGATATAGATAGGGTGATGGATATAGACAGACACAGAGACATAGACACAGAGAGATAGATGTATGTATGTATGTATGTAGAAATAGACAGACAGGCAGGCAGGCAGGCAAAGACAGAGAGACAGAATGTAGATGGATGGATTTTGTGTGTGTGTGTATGACATTGCACCAGAATTTCTGCAATGGTAGTTGTTTTTTTCCGGTTTATTTGATTAGGCCTTATATTCCCCACCAAATATGGTATAGTATATATAGTATCCAGAAAAATGATAGCTTAGTTAGCATGGCCATGTCAAAGAGACGTGTATCTTGGCACCTGCCAACGGAATTTTGTAGATTTCTCCATTCTTGACTACATCTGCTGCACTAGATTAGTTCAAAGGGCAGAGTGGATATTGTTTATAGCTTGTATGAGATCCAATTTTATCTCACAACGTGGAGACAAAAGAACATCACTTTGTTTTTCTCATTCAATGTTATCCTGCGCCCTTTGCGTCTTCTTAGCATCCCTATTTAATGTAGAAGTCACAATCTACCACGGACAGGTTACGATGCAACCCCAAAACAAAATTTAAAACGATTTTCTTAAAGCTTAAGGGACAAATGAAGATTTGGGGAACTGTTACAGGTAGTTCTTGACTTACGATCGAAACTGAGCCCAAAATTTCCATCGCTAAGTGAGATGGTTGTAAAATGAGTTTTCCCCATTTGACGACCTTTCTTGCTACAGTTAAGCTAATTGCTTCAGTTGTTAAATTAGTAACATGGTTGTTAAGTGAATCTGGCTTCCCCCATTGATTTTGCTTGTCAGGGGATCACGTGACCCCAGGACACTGCAACCGTCATAAGTACATGCCAGTTGCCAAGCATCTGAATGTGGATCATGTGACCATGGAGATGCTGCAACACTCATTAAGTTTTAAAAGCAGTCGTCACTTTTTACAGTGCCGTTGTAACTCTGAATGGTTACCAAACGAACTGTTATGTCGAGGACTACCTGTACTCGCTTCCCATTTTAATAAAGTATAGATTGGACATCCTACTACCAACTGTATATTCTCAATTAGCGGAGTATCTCTTCCCTACTTTTCAATCGGTTCCCTTAGAGATCTCCTCTCAATATTCAGCAACAATCCTATTTATAATTAGGGTTACCATAATGTGTCATCTTTAAAAGAGAGTTTTTAAAAATGCCTTCATTATACAAATGGCAACCTTCTATTTTTAAAAAAAAATATTTTTGTTTCTGACTGAACCAAGATCCTCTAAGACTGAGATGCAGCGATTGCAACGACTATGAATTGCACAGGTACAGAAATGGGAAGCAATGCTTTGGAGTCTCAAAATAGCTTCTGCGTATCCATCCTGAAAGCAAACTCTAAATCAGTGGTTCTCAACCTTTTTAATGCCGCGACCCCCAACTGGTCGTAAGTCGAGGACTAAACTGGTTGTAAGTCGAGGACTAAACTGGTCGTAAGTCGAGGATACCCAACCGGTCGTAAGTCGAGGACTTTCCCTGCCCGGGAGTGCCGCGCATGCGTGGTTCCGCCCCCTGCGCCGGCCGAGGCGTAGCTGGCAAGCGGCAGAGACGGAGCAGGCTGACCACCAGCTGGCCCAGCTCAAGGGAGGTAAGGCACCCGCCGGAAAAGGGGAAAAAAATGGCGGACAGCCTTGCTTGGCGACCCCCGTGAAATGGTCGATCGACCCCAAATGGGGTCGTGACCCATAGCTTGAGAACCGCTGCTCTAAATGTTTGTCTTATTTTAAAATAAATTATTTCATATATATTTTTTTTGACACAAGCCTCTTCCAGGCAAAGGTACTGCCTCGAACCCTGCGTGCAACTTAATTCCGTCCAATTCATTTCCAATGTAATGACTTCAGGGTTACCAAAATTGTCCCTTCACGAAGACCAAAACGAAGCTTAAACGTCTCTTTATTACGAAATAAAACATTCAAGTAAAAGAGTGACACAAATGTGGCAAAGGCAACCCATTCAAGTGGGGAGAATGAAAGCAACGAGCCGCGTTCAGCTTTGGATTCGGCAGCGTTCCCCTGCTGACAGCGGAAGCAAACGAGAAAAGATTTTCCCGTCAATGGCAAATTCTCTTTGTGAAGTTGCTCAGGAAGGTTAAGAGATCTTAAGGGATCAGAAAGATCCCTCTTTTTACCTAAAGCCTCTCTTGTATCCTCCGGAGAAACATGCCGGAATCCAACCCGGCACAAGTACAGTGTAATTAATCACAGAAAATGCAGCTCAGTAAATACTGTTTAATTTCCCCCCCCCCCAAAAAAAGCATTATCCATTGTGGAACGCGAGATACTGGCAAATAGCTAGGTAAACTCTTGAACGAATGAATGTTAAAGTGAAAATCTACAGCCTGGAACAAAACTTATACATCTCCTTCAATATATATATAAAAATAAAGTACACAGTCCTTCTCCCGATATGACAGATGTGGCTGGGCAGGGATTCCCCAAAAGGGGGAAATCAGATGGTAAGTTTAAGAATTGCAGTCTCAAAACATCTGGCTCAGATAGATTGCTTTGAACCAATTTCATTATTTCTGCCGACTGTCTTAATTTCACCTGTACGGTTAGGTAACGTCACTAGGCTAATTCTCATACTGACCAAATTTGATGACATTCCTGATCATTTCTAGCAAAGTGGACTTATTAATTCATCTTCATTTCAGGTTGGAAGTGATGTAGAAAGCAATTTCAACATCACAATACTTTGTATTTAAAGCTTTTTTTAAAAAAAATAATAATAATCTCAGAGTGGCAAGTAGGAATACTTTTAAAATGATTTATATCACCCTTGTCGGATTTAAAACAAAAAAATAACACATACTGGCATTCAATGTACCATTTTAAGCTTATGAATAGTTCCTTGCACCCAAAGGGCGCAGACGTGGGGTTTGAACAGTAATCCACCGTATGAACTCATCCGTATTTTGTAACCAAACAGAGTTTGTAACAAGGAATTAATGCACTTTTTGGCACGACTAAAATAAATTTGGCAAAAACACTGCTGCAAAATTAAAGGAGGTCTAGGCAATTGTTAAACTGTGATGTTTCAGCAATGAATGCAGGAAATCTATTCTTAAAGAAACCCCATATATACCTGTAAAGTAAAAACCAAACAAATAAACAATTCCGGTTGACGCACACGTCCTTGGTTCTGCTTTAAAGATCTTTCTTACTAGAGGCTCCCGCTGTTTGTTGCTGTAAAGAAAAAACAGATGGAAAAAAATAAGTATGTTTTATACAGTTAATTTTCATTGCAAAATCACACAGGGGGAAAAAAAAATCACACAGGTGGAGAAGAGCCTCTATAATGCACCTAGTTTAGCGTATTTTAATAAATACCAAAGGAAAGTAAAACTTGTGCTTTAGAGGTAAAATCTGATAAGGAAGACTTAGCACGCAAATCGTAATTCCAAGATGAAAATTCACCGTGGAGGAATTTTCCCCTATCTCAAAAAGGTTTTAGCTATTTGCTAAGATGCATTTTTCATGTCTATATTCCACACTGCACTGAATCCAATTTTTATTTTATTTTATCTAAGGTGTTTTTGAAGAAAGCAAATTCAGTAGCTCTGAAAATTTTCTCTTCCCCCCCCCCCTTCTTCTCCACCTTGCTATGCCAGGAATACCAAGTTCCTAAAATATTGATGGATTTAATTATTTAAAACCAAATAGGCTTCATTCCAACAAGTGTTCTCAAGATATTAAGAAAATCTCATTCTTCTGAAAGAGTGCAGGTAAATCCTCGACTTACAACCACAATTGAGGCCCAAAATTTATGTTGCTAAGTGACCTTTCTTTCCACAGTTGTTAAGTGAATCACTACAGTTGTTAGGTTAGTAACATGGTTATTAAATTAATCTGGCTTCCCCCCATTGAGTTTGCTTGTCAGAAGACCGCAAAAAGTGTTCACGTGACCCCGGGACACTGCAACAGTCATAAATACCGGTCAGTTGCCAAGCCTCTGAATTTTGATCACGTGACCTTGGGGATGCTGCAATGGTCATAAGTGTGAAAAATGGTCGTTAAGTCACCTTTTCAGTGCTGTTGTAACTTCGGTCACTAAACAAACTGTTGTAAACTGAGGACTACCTGCACGCTGAATTCAAATGTCTTTACGAATGTTGTCTTGGATCAGTTGTCTGATTTTTAAAAAGTTCTGCTCGAGCCAATCGGAGGCCTCTGTTTCTTACCTGTAGTTTTTCATGTTCTTTTACGAGGAGGTCGTATTCTTTTTTGAGGTCTTCGGACTGCTTCCTAGCAGCCATAATTTCATTTCTTGTTTTGAAGAGAGCTGTAAGACACGGGCGCAATGCTATTCAGCACGTATCACTGCGTTTTTATTAAAACCTCCGTCCACTGAAGAAGGCCCTTCTCAAAAATGAAATTGTATTTTTTAAAAATGAGGATAAAGTTGGCAAGGGCTTTCGAACAGATGGCAAAGGGTGAACTGAAGTTTGAATAATTCTAACTGCTCTGGAATACACAAAGTGCCTTTGACAAATAATGCATTTTACCTGAAAAGTCAGAGCTATTGAAAAAAAAAAAAAGGAAAATAGGGGATAGGAAAGGTAGCTTCAGATTGAGAAAAAGAAATGGAGGGGGGAGACAAAGAGTGTATTTTTTATATATTTATACACACACATATTTGTTAAGGCTTATTTTAAAGTGCATAAACTCTTTGTTTAGTAGACCAGCTGGAGGAGAATATATGATCAACCCAATTAGCTATAAATGACTTTGTTTCCATTAACCTGCATCATGCAATTAGACAAGTGACATGATTGTCAATCACCTGATTAAATAGATTACATACATTTATGTAAATGATATAAGTTACATGAATTGTCCAGGCTTTGTTGTTAATACACTTGTCCATTATTTAGTTACGGAAGAAAACATCTGTTATAGTCAATTTTCCGTTAATAAAGATTCATTACATAACAGTTTAATATTTGCCAGGAGAAGGTATTAATTTGATGATGATTTACTTTTTTTTTATGCTAATGAAAGTGCCATAGTATTAGATTGCAAAACAGCTCTTTTTGGTAACTTGATCCCACAGTAACCGAATTACTGTATGCTTTAGGAAGGAAAGTCAAAACTTTTTGGTTGTAACTAAAAACAGCAATATCTCCAAACACAACCGAGATAGCCAGGGATAGTTGCACATTCACTACATTGTTATTCTGTTTTGACAAAAATATACTTGTGGCAAGATGGGTGAGGTCTTCTAAGTAGAAGAATGTCAAAGTTCAGTGTATTAAAAATCTTTAGCTTTGGGCTGTGACTAGTAACATCATGTTCTTTAGTGGGCTAGCATCCATATCAAAGTAGCCTCAGATTACTGATTGCTTTAATACTGCAATAAATATATTTTTTAAGTTACTGCCACTCCTGTTTCTCTTTCTCCAAGCAAAATGATACACAGATAGCATGAAGACAATATTTCAAATAGAATTTCTACCACCTTTTTTTTTCCAGCAAACAGCCTCAAGACCGACCAAACCACTGAAATTCAAATAGAAGTGTTTAGAAAGCATTAATTCAAGCTAACTTTTCCCAGCAGTTATTCAAACTTTGGAAGATCGCACAAATACAGCCGAAGGCTTAACACGGGTTGGCTATTTCTAATATTTTAAAACTGTTGAAAAGAATGTTATGTATCCTAGATGGCTGTCTTCACTCTGAACACGTGCAATGAAAGTAGCCCTACACCTCTTTGGCTTTACTATTTAATTACCTTTACAGTTAGGGACTTTTTTTTCTAACATTTTGTTAGAATCGGCTTGTAACTCAAATCCATTATGTTTTATTTTCAAAAAAAACTTTTTTTTAAATGCCAAACTTTTAAAAAAATGTTTCAACAATTGTAAACTACACAGAGCTGTTGGCATTAGAAGGCATATAAATTTAATAAATTATTATTTTTGATTACAGTCAGCCAGATGTTTAAGACTGGATATGATATTTTTACTCACTTATTGAGTCCTTCCCAAGGACCTGAGATAGATAGATATTGTTGTTTGATGATGTTAGAGGTATTGGTGCAGAATGTAAGCTCTGCCATGTAAAGCTGCCTTTTGCAATTGACTGATGGTGATTTTGTCAATGCCGATGAGGTTCAAGTGACACTCCAGTTATTTTGGGATCGCACCCAAGGTGCCTATGACTATTGGTATTGTATTTGCTTTCTTTTGTCATTCTTCAGCTGTTCCAGTAAAGCTGCCTTTTGCAATTGACAGATATTAGTTTTGTATTATTATTACATACACAACAATGTGAAGTCACAGCTGCCAATGGTGACCCTTCATATCCATTGTGGGATTTCATCCCACAAAGGAGGAATTGCTGGAAAAACTGATGGAACTAGCAGAGATGGCTATATTAACTGCTGGAATAAAAGAATACATCCAATTTTGTTTTTACTTGGAAACCACTTCTGGATTTTGTGCTTGAGATAGAGGAAAATGAAATTATTGATTTTGGGTTTGGCTGATTAGATAAGTTTGTTGTTATAGAAATGTCTTGTACATATTAACTGTGGAAAAGTAAAAACGTTGAGCCTGTAATGTTATGTCATTCTACTGTGCTAAAGAGTCAATGCTTTTGTTTTTTCCCCTTTCCTCTGCACTTTTTCTTTCTTTCCTTTCTTTTCCTCTTCCTTTCTACTTTCTCTCTTTCTTCCCCTTTTTCCTCACTATTTTCATTTTCATTTGTACTGTATACTTTGATAAGTTAAATAATTTAAAAAAAAACACAAAAAAACTTGGATGTCCTAATGTATTAGCATTGTGTATGTGCAGATTGAAGCAATGTGGCCTCTTGTAATTGACAGATGGATATTTTATCCATGTGCAGATAAAATTGTGATATTTTTTTTTTGGTGTGGCACCCAATAACCACAGAGACCACAACAACCCATTTATGCTATAATCTTTCAGCTTTGAATTTTCAGAAGTTGATACTCTGTAATATTCTCCAATTCTTTGTCTTCTGTTTGAATATCCCCTGGTATTGTCACATCTTCTTTTCAATCCCAATTAAACCTGGTGGGTTACGTCTCAAGACTTTATCAGTTTGTTAATTGAGAGTCACACAATAGCTTAGCTCACTCATTTTAAACTACTTTTTTTACTCTTATGTTCTCACCAATTTTTCATTACTGGCATATAATTTTCACAGCGAAACATTTTGGCAATTGTGTAACGTTGTTGTTTGTAATCAGTTTGTGTGATCTTCTTGCACAAGCTGAATATACCATCTATTGTTTCTTCTGCTTCTTTGCACATTTTATACTTGGCATTTTTTTGATGATTTTTCAATTGCACTAATTCATTATTTCTTCTATCTATCTTCATTCTTCATAAAGAATTCACAATCATAACCTCAGAACAATGTAAGAAGTTACAACAATGCAATACAAGACCTTTAACATGTTCATCCACACACACACACAATTGGAATCTTTACAAAGAAAAATGGTTAATCACTGACCTTTGAAAATAAGAAATACTGCACTGAGATATGATCTGATAAACTGGAGGTTTTAAAAAAGAGATTGGACAGCCATTTGTCTGAAATGGCATAAAGTTTCCTGCTTGAGCAGGGGGTTAGACTAGAAGACCTCCAAGGTCCCTTCCAACTCTGTTATTCTGGTGTATATATATATATGCAGTTTTCTTGGTGATTTAAACCTCTCTAGGCTTAAACATTTTTAAGAACAAAATGATCATAGCTTGTTGGCATAGAAGAAGCCACAATCTAATCCAATCATGCCTTAGAGAAGTAAATTAATAATGCTGTTCGACATTTAGAAAAATAAAAAAAAAATAAACCTTTTAATTTCCATGCCTGGAGTAATTTAAAATGTCAAGTATGACACCTGCCTAATTAAAAATAGCATTGACAAACTCAAGGCATTGTGCGTAATTTTCTTTTGAATTTTCTAAAATCATTTTCAGATGTTTGACTATAATTTATTTTTGTTTCACAATGTGGCATATTAAATTGTTTCATAACTGTCTAAACCACCACAGGAAACTGCATAGGAAGAAGTTCATCTCAAGAACAATGTTCTTATCACGTTTATTTTGTATACAAGCCATGTCTGTTTATAAGAGCTGCCAAACATTGTGTAAACTTTACTTTCCCTTCCTCGTTCCAAATCTTATCATCTTTCTATACATACAGAGGTGCGTGATCAAAACTTCTGTAAGTTTCCATGTGCACACGTACGTCTGTGCAAATGATTACAATTACTGATACTAAGCAGTCCTAATGCATACATTTTTCAGTAATACTTTGCATATTTTATGGTCAATATTATTCCTATCCTGGATAAAGAGGAAAACTGAGAGATATATTCAGTGTTTTGATATATATCTATATTAATATTATATGCCTCCCTTTTCAGGGGTTATACATTGCATTTGCTGTTTCAGTTATTTTTCTATAATAACACTTTTGCTTATGATCTTTATTTTTTTCAAGCACACACAGGCAGCTCTTTGCTATGCAGTTCTAATATACTATTATTGAAAAGAGTTAGATAATCAATAGCTATTAGATCTACAGAATTATACTCACAGAACAAGCCTATAATCTTTACTATTTACAAGTAGGTCACAAAATGCTGAAGGAAAAAAAATATCTTGTAATCTTGTAAATAGTTGATAGCTCCTTAATGTACAAAATCAAAGTTAATTCACCTTGATAAACTTAATGCAGATTTACTGGCTCATTATGTCTCTTTGCCTAAACTTCTCAATAACCTAATTTACAACAAAGAGTGATTTCTGAAGGAAAAAAAGCAGCTTTCATTTTCCATTTTGCCATAATTAGTTCCACATTCAATGCTCAAATTTCTGTATCAATATTTCAGTCAGTTCTTTTTAGAAGATTCTTGCTTCTTTGGCTGGTGTTTGGAATTCTAATGTTTGGAAAACTCCACTGGCTTTTTATTCTATTTGATAGTTTATACTGACTTTTGACAACTGTTTTGAGATTTAATTCGAAGACTGATGTTTGCCTTCAGAAAACATTATGTTCTCTTATGTAGCCAAAGATTTAATACATTTTAGCTGCCTGATCTTCACAAGGTCAAGCAATATTATTCATTTCAGCCAGTAAAAACACCCAAGAAGTTTCATAAATCTTGCTGGATCCAGAAAGAGCACGCAGAGTCAGGACAATTCTGTCTGTATCTTAGTGCTATTTTATTAAAAAAAAAAACTAGGTTGAACAAGGAAGCTAATAAAATGATGGTGTTATCATAGTCTTGGTTTTGATTCTCTTGAAGCAAACGCAGAGAATTTCTATCTAAGTATCCTACTGACTACAAAA